ATTTCTAAGTGGTTTGAACTGTAGACCTAACAGACCTAATGTCCATTATCTAATGAGCTATCGTGACAGAACAACCACTCCATTTCTAATATTTCCGTTCAGAGTTTTTTTTTGTTTTTTTTTTTTTCCTTTTTGGCAACGGCAGCCTCCGCGTTAGCTGTGTGGGTAAACTCCACTGCTTCTTTGGCACTGCCTTGTGGTCCCACTGTGTCACTGGCAAGTGGTTGTGCTTTAAGTTTTTAGTTTTAAAGTTTCCAAACATCACGGGGGTTTTTAATCCTCTGTTACAGCTACAAGACTTTTTCTCTCATTTTCGCACATGCCCAGTTAACGCCAATTTGTGTAAAAGCTAAAAACACGAGGCAGAGTGTTTCGTGGTTTCACTGATCTCGGTGCAGTGCCCATTAAAACCAACCACACGTGTCATACTGGGGGCGGGGGGGGGGCATAGTCAAGGCCTTGACGTGAACTTCCTCACATACTTTTGTTCGCGTACAGTTCACGATCATTTTAATTTACAAATTTCAAAAACGAGATCTACAAACTTTTAATTAAAACCTTGAACGTTGTTAAAGTTAAGAGAAAAAAATGGTTTGTGTCAAAAAAAAAAAAAGAAGAAGAATTTCCTTTGCAATAAAATGGGCAGTGTTTTCATTTCAAATTTACTCACATGATTCAAATTCCATGAAAGTAGTTGGATTTCTTTAATTGTTCTCAATGAATCGCCCCGGCCTGAAGAACCCCCGGTGATGACAAGGTGAAATAAAATGAAATCAAAGCGGCGGGTGTCGTGTCAGGAGTGGCCTTCCTGCGATGGCAGCTCTTAAATGAAGGACTATTACTGGCAGTAATGACGTCCTAAAATAGGAGGATAAAACCCAAGACTGCTGGAGGTTCTAACAAGCAGGGTTAAACTTAGCTGGTCGGGATGAGAGTGACGAGCGCTGCCTCCGCTGGGAAAACCCCCATGACCCCGTTTCTGTTTTTAGGCCTGGACTTCATTTCACGCTCCCTAAGGAACGTGTTCTAGGACACATCCACATATGACGGAACATGACTCCATGTAACAAAGACTGCGGAACCAAACGGCTATCGTTGTCTTGGCTATTATTACGTGATGATAATACTGAAAGGAAGAGATTAGTCTTTACTGGGAATACTGGCTACGTTCAGAGTAATATTATCATCTGTGTCCGTCAACGCAGAAGGTTCAGTGGAAGCTAATGAAAAGTTAGCTTTTTCTCACTACCCTGGATCGTCTGTGCAAAACGATTGGCTGCAATAACGGTCCTGATTGGTCAGTTCTCCTTGTCAGGGTCAGTCGTTTGATTCCAACCACTGACCAGTCCATCGGTGCATCTAGATGTACCTGCAGGCTTTCTGCCACTAGGGGTGTAAAATAGTATCGATACACTGAAATATCGCAATATTTTTAATTTCAAGATACTGTATTGATATTCTGCAATGCTGTATCAAAGCTGACAGTTTTCCAACAAAATACAATTTTGATACATTGTTGAAAGATAACCTCAATATATCTTTGTGGTATCGCAATATATTGTATCGTTATACATATCATAACGCCAGATTCTTCAGGTGATCAGGTGATAAAATGTATTGAGAAATTTACATTTTCCTGAACCCGAGGTAATATTTGGCTTCTGACAGAGAAAGATGTGAAATGGGGGGAAAAAATCACCAAGAAGATGAATGTTTCAGTGGGATATGTTTTTCTACTGCCATGCCTGCAGCCTGGAGTTTGGTCGTGATTAATTGCTTCATCTGGCCCACTGAGGCTCTGTCTAACTCCCAACTAAATGCCAGTTCATCTTCGAGCCATTGTTTTGTGTTCGGTGCTGCTTTATACAAGAAATATAAGGCCCAAAAAAACCCCCTCCAATGCCAGGTGTGTCTGAGAGATGTTGGCAGCCGCCGAGAGATAAGCAGCAGCATGAATGAGAGAATTGTCTGCAGTGGCCAAGGGTGAGGCCGATGCTGGCGCAGTGATTAAAAAGAAAACATTTTCAGAGATTTAGGGAGGATGACGTAGAAGACGCATTAAGTCCGGCGTCTTCGCAGGAGTTCTCAGTGAGTGCACTCAGGCGGAGTGGACGTCGCTCTTTATGTTCACATTGAAACGTCTGCGGATCCAAAACTGAGTGAACGGAAGGTTCAGTAACTCAGGGATTCCCTGACCTTTAAAAGGCTCATCCACAGCAGCTCCGACAGACACTGCGATTGTCGGGTTATAGTTTTATGGTTTTTTTTTTTTTTTTACTGTAACGAGTTGTACTTCAGGCCGAGGCTGAGGCAGAGACTGACCTGTAAACTGGGTAAAACGACATCGTCGAGTCCTCTGGTGTCGGGAGAATAGAGGAACAGAGAACCGGCTTTAAATGACTTGTCTTTATGTTGTTAGTAGTAGCTTTTGGTTTTCGTTTTTCAGGCATCAGGGTAAAAGTAAAACCACACAAACTGAGATGTTCCAGTGTTTTGGTGCAGAAACAGTGGGTTTAATAAACTCGAGGGTTGTTTTCACTTCACTAGTCACTGACGACTGACTCTGAATATTCACTGGTTAACTGTACATAAAAAAAGGAGTATTGTTAAATGAAATATTGCGATATATCAGTGTATTGATATTTTTTCTTACACCCCGTCGTCCAGTTCATTCTGGGATTTCAGTTTCACTAAAACAGTTCACGGTTTTTGAGACCAGATTAGTATCAACGTGATATGATATATTTGATATGTTTACCTTCGACTGTTGGTCATCGATCGTGTACGACGTCAATAGTTCTGAGAGTCCTCAACGGCTTTGAGAGGATTTTTCCTTATATCTGTGTCGAGTGTTGAGCTGCGTTAGGTTTCGTTGGATTAGGTTTTTATTTTGGCCTCAAAGAGCAGATTCAAGATCTGAGCAAACATCAAGTTTTAAACCAAACATTATTGGGGTTCTGCAGCTGTTTTTGATCCAGGTCTATTTGACTTTTTCTTTTCTTTTCCAAAAAACTGAGAAAAAGCAGCTGAACACGTCCACGTTTAAGTTTTAGTAAAGACACTGAACTGAACTCTGTGTAATTTAAGGCAGATAATCTTTTGGATAATCCTTAATCTGAGCAGAGAGAATTTAAATACGCTGAACAAGTGCTGCTGGGTAATCTGAGTTCGGAAGATGCCTCCCCCGACGGCCGGGACCCGACATGTCGACTGGAGACTCCGCTGCCGAACTAATCCTTAAATCCAGAAGAAATTATGAGTCGGTTTACGAAGTCTGCAGATTATTGGCCACCAGTCGCGTCAGGCCGAGGTTTTCAACGACAAACGCGATCAGAAACCACACAGTTTAAAGAACTGATCGGATCAATCAGACATACTTCGATCATGGTAACGAGATTGTTATTTTTAATCTCATATGTTAGGAGGAAGCTGTAGATTAATCATGAAGAATCACAATTAATCATTAAGAATTTACAAGGTAAAAATGTCCCATCAATCCACAATAGTAAAATTTACTACATTTGCCCAAGAAATATAATTCTCTCTCAGGCTAGCTTCACGTTTTGCCTTAGAATCCAAGAACGTTTTGGTACCGAGACACAAAGAAAACTCTTGAAGTGATAGAGTCACGTTCATGTACTTAAGGAACCGATTTTTTTTTTTGTATATCACAGCGTTGCTTTCTCTTAGCAGAATCACATCCCTTGTTTTTTTTGTTTATTTTGTTTGTTTTTTTTACTACAGTGGCTCAGTCTTATTGGTTTTAATCTGACACGTATCACTAAGATCAGGCGATCCATCGCTCTCTCGTACGTCTCCGTCCCAGAGATGTGGCCCGGTCATGTTCCCCGTATCAGATGTAATAAACGCCTGTCGTACAAGTCGTACCTGTGAGGAGGTCACACCCGTCCATCGTGGACAAACTGTCCCCAAAATAAAAAACACCTGAAAGAAGAGTGACTCTGACTCGGCGTCTGACGCCTCGCTGGGCTGCGATGACAAATGATTCACTGGAAGCATTTGCATTTTAAATCACGCCGTCTCCCAGAACTGGCTAATATCACACGGAGGTCAGAGGCTAATTAGCGGCTCAGATGATTAACAGCGTATCAGAGCGGCGTCTGTCAGAGTGCGGTCTCCGCTCTAATCTCCTCCAGACCAGTACAACTCGGGCCAGACGACAATATAACAGCTCCAGTGAACACTGACAGAGTGTTCACACACCCGGACGCTGGGCCGACTGTAGCGGCGTTGCGTTCTGTCCCCGTTGTTTCGCTAACGTCTGAGGTCAGGCGGCTAATTGGACAGATGTGGTCCAAACAGAATGAGGACTTTGTCTAATGAGACTTTTGGACAAAACGGGACAAATCTGTGAGTCATCACGTCTGCTTGATGACCCCCCCTCCCCTCGATTTATGGGACGTTTATTAAGGTGATAAATATCTCTGCAGACTTATTTGGTGGTTTACAGTTTGAACTGCTGCGTGAGTTCTGTTATCATTTTATGACTAGTCAATTTAGATTCCATTACGTGCATTTGTAGAACTTGATGACTTGTTCCAATCGGCCCTCCACTTATCAAGTTTCAAAGATTAAAGTTGTTCAGTTTGTTGTCACTTATCAAGAGACCTCCTTCAGTCTTTAAGACAGAAACAACAGTCTGGTTTTGGTGGATGGATAAATAGAAACAAACAATGTCAGTTAAAAAACCCCTAGAGGGCACTACATCGGGGAAATTAAGGTTCCAGTAGGAACTCTAACTGGGAGTCGAACCAGTGACCCATCTAACTGATCAGTTAGTTAGCCGTCCCATATGTCCCATCTTAATTAAGAGGAAATGATGGTTCTCCGTCTCCTGACTCAGGAGGTGGCGATGGGTTCTGTTCCACGCTGAGCTGTAATTGTGTCTGAGAAGAAGAGAACGTGGAACCCTGTGTTTCTAACCCGGTTCTCTTCTCCTCTCTCACCCTCTCCTCCCCTCTCTCACCCTTGGTTTGCAGTGCCATGAATCACCCCGGACAACAGCTGCTGCCTACATAGAGGTCACTCTGCCTCTCTTTTTGGTTCTCTTTGGTCCAGAGGATGCTGGTAATGTGTCGCGGGCGCAGGAAATTCCTTTTGGCCTCCCTCGCCCTGGTCTTCATCCCGACGCTCACATGGCTCTACCTGTCGGTCGGAGGCTTTCAAGGTAAGAAGGAACTTGTTTTGTTATTATTTAATAAATGTACATTTTTTAGGCAAATGTAGTGCCGATAAAACGTCTTAATTTTCAAAGTATTCCCCGACAGACAGATTTTTTTTTGACCACATCCCAGGTAGCGATCATTAACGAATGGTTCCGCAGTTAAGCTAACGCTAACAGAGCCTACCAAGGCAGAAACACATGGAAGTCAACGAGACTGAGCGTCAAACTTGTGTTGGGAACGTGTGTCGTTGTCCTGAGGGAACAGTCGGTCGCCCGTTGGCTGCGGTGTTAAACGATTACTCAGGCCTGTCTAAAGTTGATTACTTCCTGCAGACAATGCGTTCTCGGAGTTCTGCGAGTTCTCCAGGCCATTTTAATGACTTCAACTCTGAGGATTGAAACACTGCAGCGGTGGTAGCATTTTAATTATGATTAGACTGACAATCTTGTCTCAGGGTCGCTGTCCCGGAGACTGTACATCTGAATGCCTTTCCATAATGCAATTGTCACCGGGGTCGAAAAAGTAATTATTAGATTTGTCACCAAGTTCCTGGCGTTGGGGAGAAGTTCCTAGAATGTGATAAGTTGTGAAAGGAGCTGAGAGCTGCTGCAGGGAACGGCAGCAGCAGCAGCAGCAGCAGCAGGTGAGGACTGCAGCAGTGAGCGTCCCCCCTCTCACTGTCTTTATCTCCCTCTGTCTCCAGCTCCACTTTATTTTCTTAACACTTAACACTTAACATAATAACAGTTGTAACTACACCTCCTCCCAGGGTACTTACATCCAGAGTTGCCCCCCAGCTGTTCTGCCCCATTCACCCTTAAAGTGTTACATACTGCCCCCTGACAAATAAAAGGTGTCGGTATAAATACATACAGTTATAATATATAATATTATAATATTTTAGTACGACTCCTGACACAAAATCACAAAAAAAAACAACCTCAGCCATTATTCCCGAGGCTGATGCCCAACCAGTGAACCGGGGCACATCAGGTGGACCACGACATGTGGTCCAAATTCACTGAATGGTCTGAAAACTATGATTTATTTGGGAGGTAAATTTTTGGGGTTTGTAATTTTGGCAAACAACAACTACATACTCTTCCACTAGGTGGCACCAGATGGATGTAAAATAAAAAATAAAAAAAATAGAGATTTATTAAAATGTTTGTCTTTATTCAATTCCTGAAAGGAAATTAGTGCTGTGTTCAACTAAACAGGCCCAGGTTTCAGTGAGTTAGTAACTTTTTGTTAATTGTTTTTGAAGGTGCATCATGGGAAACAGCAGTCACGACCCGGCTCCGTGGAAGAGAAGAAGAAGCAATTTGTAGAAGAAACGTTGAGAGACATTTGGTGAATCTGCTGATTACGTGGGAGGAGTTTAAGTCACGATAACCTTTGACGCTAGGAGACGGATCAGCAGGAGCAGCACTAGCTAAAGACGCTTCTTCTTCTTAGACTTCTTCTTTGGTACGCACCATGCCTGTGGTGGAGGTCACGTGACCGTACGGGACCGTCAGGTTGATCTTGCGTTTGACTTTGCTGAAAGACCGATTTAATTTGTGTCTTAATGAAATTCACATTTTCTCTTTCCAACACAAATTAAAAAGACTTTTCTCTCGTTTACAAGTCAGTCGTCAGATCGGCCCCGTCTCCCGACCGACTTCTTCTGGTGCAATTAGCTGTCAGTCAAACGATCAATCAGATGAGGGATCTGCTCAACACGGGCTTAAGTTAGCTTCACCCTCTGGTTCTTGGGAAAATGGGTTCTTAATCCAAGAAATCCTTCAAAATCGATACGAGGACTTAGAAATGGTTAAAAAAAAAAAAAGAAAAAAAAAGCAGTTCTTCTGAAAATGGAAATGTGAACTGAAGTCAGAGTTGGATTTTCCAACAGAATCACTGGCCTCGCGCTCTGATCTCCTCCGTTCTCCAGTTTCCTTTTCTGCTGATGTAAATATCTGTGGTTTCTTCTCCAGAGACGGAGACGAGGACCTGACACCGGGTTGTTTTTCTGCAGCTGTGTGTGCATCTGCAGACACACACACCTACACACACACACAGATGCTGGTTTTCATGAGTTCTGAGGACTATGATAAAACCCCACCCTAATCTTAACGATTACAAACGTCCTCTAATCCTGAACCCCGACCCTGGAGTCGACCCAACGTCTAATCCCAGCTGGAAAATAAATCGTAATCCTCAAAATAACCTCTTTCCTAGTCCTCGTAAGAATAGCTGTACCTTGACCACACACACACGCGGGCGAGGTAGAGCGAGGTAGAGCGAGGCAGAGCGAGGTAGAGCGAGGTAGAGTGAGGTAGAGGTTAAAAATTAAATCTTAGTCAGCGTTTTCTACATGCGTATCACTGCGGTTCCAGAAACAGAATCATTCATAAATTTATAATTAAAAAGAAAAAAAAAATTTTATCAAGTTTCAAAAAGAAAAATCTGGTCGCTCTACATAAAGTCACAGTTCGTGAAACATTGTCAAAAACTCGTTAAAAATTAAATCTTATATCTGAGTGTAGTTTGTTATTTTTAATAAAAGCTAAAAAAGAAAAGAAAAATAATTACTATTCAGGGGTTAAGAATTCTGCAGAACTTTTTAAGTCATCTCTGTTTGAACGTTTGCTAACAATTCTTTACTGGAGAACTGTAGTCTGTCATTATGACAGGTGGCGACGTAGAGCACACAGGGAATAGAGGTGTGTAGTTTTAGAATCAGCTGAACAAGCGAGGGTGAGGGAACAGGCGGGTGGGGGAGCAGGCGGCGGGGGGAGAAGGGGCGGCGGGGGGGGTGAGAGATACTTTGTGTCTCCCGAGGTTCGCAGACGGAGAGCTGAGCACAAACAAAGCCGTGAGGTCATCCACTCTGACAAAAGCTTAAATCCCATCTGAACACCAGGACAAACGGGTCGACTCATCAAAGGCTTCCCATTTAATCTGAATCGTAATAATCCTCGGGATTGAAGGGTCAGTGTTTTGAGTTCTTTTCCTGGAGAAACGGCGCTCCAGGAAAGAAAATCCTGGAGTGCAAACTGGAACGTTAGGTTAGCTTGAGTTCAAATATGGACTGAAAACAACCATTCACACTAACATTCACACTAACATTCACACTAACATTCACACCGATGGCAAATTTAAAGTTACTGTTTAACCCTAACCCCCCATTCTGCATGTTTAAGGATGGGGGTGGGGGGGGGGGCGGGGCCAGGGTGGAGCGGGAGAATATACAAACCCCTTAATTGAAAGACCTGGAGAGGCCGGATCAACTCGTCCATGGGGTGACGTCACAGACTGACCACGGTGTAGGACAGGAACCAGGCAGGTGTTAAAAGATCGTAATCTACTCAGGAAGTACAGCCCGTCCTGTACAGGTGCTCGGTGTTGGCCGTACTTGTAAGAACCCCTCCAAAGGCGTTGATTAGGGGTTTTTTTTGTTTTTTTTTAAAAGTGCTGCCTTATTTCATCAGATCAGGCGCGTCGGGCCTCTGGTTCGTAGCGCCCCCTGAAGACCGGTATTCAAACGCTCTCTCCCCTCCATTAGTCACATTGTCTGTCGACTACCTCATTACTTTGGCCCTGCTGTCAAATTCATTTGGACTCCCTTCGGGGTGCCGTTTAACCTTGTGGTTCTCGCCTTTTGTAAATGGACAACAATTTGTCATGGCCACGAAAAAAGACATCATAACTCCGGGGAACCCGTTTTTAGCCACGCTCCCTCTCTCTGGCCTTAAAACTGGCTGTTGATGTTCACGTGTTGCACGACTCGGGGTCTTTATATTGACGACGCGGCGCCGTCTGGACGACATGCGCTCGGTCCCCGACACAATTCAACAGTGAGGTGTCGAAGGTTGGCGTTGTTTGCACGGCGGGTAAATGAACCAACCAACCAACCAAGGGCTTTTCCTTGGCTCATTTCCTCAGCATTTGTCTCTTAGCTGCGTTGCCAGCACAGAAGTGTTTCCCAGAAATGTATCTGGTGCATTAACCTTTGTCGGGATTTTTTGATGCTTTTGCAAAAACAGGTTATGAATATGTTGATGTGTTGTTGATATTCCTTAGACGACATATTCGACCACCCCTCCCTGACCCCTCCCTGACCCCTCCCCTTAATCCCCCCCTTTCTTAGAGGCAGTTTAGTTTTGCTACATTACACATTTCTGAGGTGGTACTCGCAGCAGTGACAGTGTCTCGACTGTTTTAAAAAGTTCCTGGGTTTCCTCCACACTGTCGACAAAGATTGTTAGCCGCACTTCCCCCTTTCCCTGCATTTGCTGAGCCTTAAATCCCGCCCCGCGGAGCAGCGTCATTAGTATTGATTTGTCTTTGTTGTGTTGAGTCTTCTGCTTTTACTGCTGCTTAGTGCACTGGACTGAGACTGCTTGTTGGAGTGGTTGGTACTTTATAAGTGGACCAGCTAACTTGACCAAACTTCGACGAGCACGACGGTGCTCTACAGAACGCGGGTCGGACTGTCGTATTAGCCGTTAGACTCCTAATTCATTCACGGAAGCAAACGAAGACGCTAAAGACCAGAGTGAACTGATTTTTCATCAGTCTTTGTGTAAAACCACGGTCCCTCCAACAATACGACTACGGTCCTTTAGAACACGATGAGTGAAGGCCAGCAGTACTTCATTGTAGCTCAGATAAGAGGTTCACCGTGAGCGTGTTTTTCACTCTCCGTCTGTCACATCCAGATGGTGTCGAAACGTTGGCTTCTGTCTGTGAACGTGTTAAGTCAAGCCGTAAGAACACGTAGTAGATGAGAACTCACGTTTGTTTCTCTGGTCTGTTTTTCAAGAAAGACGTACGAAGCCGACACCACAGTACAACCTTTGATAGAGCGCGGGCCAAATGTAGCTAAGCTAATTTGAGTACAAACTATTTACAAATGACTTCAATAAATTTGACTGGGAAATTTTTGGCATCGCCTCTAAACTGAGTGTAAAAAAAAAAAGTAATGTTGTTCTTCTGGTGTAAAATAATTAAAAAC